CACACCCACACACACACTCTTAAGGCATGTTCTCTTTATTGTTTTTAGGTTATTTTCAATTTTCGAAAGCACATTTACTTTCCTATTTTTAGAAACGAATTTTCAAAAATAAGTTTAAAATTTACAAAAAAAACGAAAAACGCAAAAAAAAAGTCGTTTTGGCTGTTTTCAATTAAAACCAAGCGAAAACTTCATTTTTTTATTTTTGTGAACTATTTTTCAAAATGACAAAAAGATCGCGTTTTCAACAATCTCAAAATAGACACTCAAAATACAAAATCAAAATGAATTCAAAACTCAAAACTCAAAAGTGAAACGAGAAGAGAACATCCCATTAATGTTTAATTGGTTCGACTAAGTGTGCATACTTGCCCTAAAAAGCTAGCCCTCTTTTTATACTTATGAATAGTAATATTTTTTCAGTATTTATGTCGTATAAATTATAGTCATAGATAGTTTTATATTCCAATAATATACTATTTTATATTTTATTTTCACATTTGAGGCAATAGAAAAATGTTAAAATTTAGAAATTGTCAATGTGGAAGCCTATATTTTCCAATCAAATTAGACTTCGCGTTTGCGAGGGGTCCATGACCTACAATCACTACCGATTTTTGTGTGAAAATCTGTAAATAGTATGAAGACTCCAAAAAAAAGGAAAATATAACTTGAAAGAGAGAAAAAAACATGAAAAATGCACGCACTCATCTATGGTTCATATTAGTAGTTTTATTGTAGTATAATGATCCAAACTTGCTTAACTAAAGTCAATATAAATTATGTTAATTCTTAAAAAATGCGTCGATCAAAATAACATGATTAGTGTTCGCTCCCATTAATTTTTTTTTTTTAATTTTAAACTTTTCTTAATTTTAAGTGCACATTTTTCGTAAAATAATATTACACTCAAATCTAAAAATTTTCACTATTTTTCAACAACACATTCTCCCATCAATCACTGTTTCAAAATTCATAATTTCTTCAAAATGGGGGTCAAATAACCTCTACAACGTGGCATCTCCTAAAAAGGAAAATATCCTACCTAAATCCTACTCAGGCTTATTTTTGGTACTATTTGATTAATTTGGTAATTTGTATTGCATGTCACGGCATTGCTTAGAAGATTCCCATGATTAAGCACTAATAAATCAAGCTTATATAAAGTCGCATCTAAAGTGTTACAACAGTCAAATTAGTCAACCATTTAGTTAAAAGAGAAATAAATGTTAAAACATTTCTTTTTGGCTGACCTCGAAATGCTATACAAAGAGTAAATTATGTTGAATTACTTGTTTATTTATATCACAGCGTGTAAATTAGGTACAGAATTATAGCCAAAGAACCTTAGCAGAACCCATGTCATTTCTTTTAGCTGCTTCTTTTATCGCTTTCTGCACACTTTGTAACAGTTATGTCCTACGTCCAATCAACTTTGGATATAAACACTTTGAATATATATATATATATATAATCAATGCATATGTATGGCAATATCTATTATTTAATT